TAAAAAAAATCATCATATATATTAAAACGTGACAGAGTTTTTTTATTTCACTATTCTCAATCAACCACTTGACAGATTTTTGTGATTTTTGTGTTGAAAGAAAGATAATTTTGAGAACTATGGAATGTCAAAGCCATAATTTTAGTTTAGGGTTTCAGTTTTTTAGAAAATAAGTTTTAATTTTCAAAAAGTCTAGCAGTCAACGCTAACATTCTAGACAAGCTTTTGGTATAAAACCATTTGCTTAACTTAACAGCTGTAAACATTCAGAGTTTGTGACACAAATTCAGCTTTTGGATAGAAATGAAATGACATATGTAGGGTTGACTTATTACTATGTGTAATGTTATAATAATTTATATATTAATTTGTTTGGTAAGGGAATGACAGATTATTTAAATTTACATTGTAAAATACTTGATAATCTAATAAATTGTTTAGAACAGTCTTTAAAATCTTGGGGTTTTTAGTGCAATATAATTTGATTGAACTAACAGCTGGATGCATATAAAAATATTCTATAGAACTATATGAGGTTATTTTATTTAGTCGTTGATTATAGGAAATAAGTAAGATTAGTAGAGATAAGTAGACAATAGAGACTAAGACCTTTGCCGTATACAAATCGAGGCTCTGCCCGTGAGTCTTCAAACAAAAGAAAAGCCTATGCAAATTATTTTACGGGTTTTATTCGGGGATAAACAAATAGATGACATAGATTAAACACGATTTTATCATTGACCTAGGATACTGCAAGTTTACTTGCCATCCTTTTGTAAAATCTAAAACGTTGTTTGGCGTGTGTTCATGTGTATGGCTATGTTTGGGCGCGCTGGTAAAATATAACTATTTTAAGTAAATACCTTAAAGTTTTAATAAATGAATAAGGGAAATAATGATGTACATAGATTCAATGAGGGTGGTTAATTATCATGGATATTAGAACAGATAACGGTACGGATAATATAGACAAATTATGTCACTAGCTTACTAGCGTGCTTACTTTTTTTTTAAATTCCTTCTACAGGTGATAAGTTCTTTTTTCAAATGAATTATTTTAACTAAACAGCTGTTTCAAATTATACACAGTTTTAACTGACTACTCAATTCCCGTACGTAGGACGGGTCAACAGCTCGTTTTTATTTATAACTATTTCAGACTTTAAAATAGAATAATAAATTGTTTGGTTCAATTTCACTAACTTTACTGAACTTACCGGTTTCAACCTCTGGCCACTTATTGATTGAATGTAAAACAAGGTCTGTTCAAAAAGTATCTGACCTTGTTCAAGAAAAGCATAATTTATTGATCAATTTGTTTCAACAAGTGATCTCCTTCAAAATAGTCTCCTTGGTACTGCGCTAGGAAGCAGTTGTTGAGTTACAAGATACTAAAGTTGGATACTTTTTGAACAGACCTCGTATTCTATTTAGATGAGTATTTAATACCTACATGAAACACTTAAGGTACATTTCCAAAAAATTCAAGGCCTATGTCCACAGCAGCACAAATCTCATTAGGGAATTTTGGAAGTGGAAAAATACTCAAGAATATCTCTTTTGTCGGTATAAGTATTCAGTAAAATCAATAATTGTTTTCTGTTTAACACTACTTGGTAAAAAATACTCTGTAAACAATAACGGCAACAATTGAAAACATTAGCTTATATATTATATTATGTTTATTTCTTTAGCTGTTCCAATTATTGGGCATTTTTATGCTGTCTAGTTTGCAAAATTGCCAATCTGTTTTCAACTGCCTATGACGTTCAGTTGGGCGATTTTGACTAAGTGAAACTGTTATTACAAAATTAATAAACTAAAGATGTAAACTGTCAACTGAGGTATTAACCAATATGTTTTTGTTTCTGTTTTTTTTTTATTTAAAAAAATTAAAGCTTTGACTAACCCGTCCACCTATTCCTGTATCATAGGCCAGTGTATGCCTTAGAATGAAAAAAAAAAGCTGGGTAGTAGTTCTAAGTTAATGACTGGGATTAGAAATTGAATCCACGGCTTCACTGATGAAGCTACACAGATTCCAAATGGAAAGAACATGGCTTTTTGAACAATTATTTATTAAACTCACAATCCTCAAATGTCTAGTGATTTTCCACTAGTTTTCACTAATTTATATATTTACCAACAAAATGTAACATGGAGTATTTTAGGTAAACATCAATAACTAAAAAACAAACTTAACATAACAACTAGGTGGGAATGTAAAAGAAAATGGAGTTACTAAAACTACGACAAGAAAATTGAGTAGGTCTTCATGGAAAATAGCAATACATAGGATTACAATATGAAGTAATTACAATTTTCAAGTTTGCTTACATTGTTAAGTACCCAATATTGTAACAATATTTCATAAATAATCAATTTGCGTGTCATAGTAGCACATGATGCAAAGCTTCAATGTCTTACAACCTCAAATATTCCTCTGTATACGGAAATCTTTGAATGTTTTTTTCAAAAGTAGTTTTTTCACTGAACATTTGTAATTTAGACTAGTAATTAGTAGGTATTTAATTTTTTATTTACTTTGGTATCTGAATATAAGAGCCACTATAAGAGATATTTTGTACTTTTCCTTTGTGCTAAATATTAAAAGGCGACTTCAATATTTAAACATTGAAACTTGTAATTAAGAGCCGGTTTCCCCAAACAATGTTTAACTTAATCATCAGTTTAACTCCCCTATTCACCTGGAGGGTTAACTTAAAACCTAGATTAAACCAAGAAGTTGTTTTGGAGAAAGTGAATCTGCGGTTAAACCTAAAGTTTAAACAAACATCAGGAAGTTAAACTATATTTGCGGAAATCTGCCCTTATCCTAAGACAAAATTCTAATGACTGACTTATACTCTAAAAGGGGAATAAAATAGAAGGATTTTTTCCTACTAGACATTTTGATACACCTTTAAGAGATTAGACGATTTTATAACTGTTATAAGGGATGAAGAGGGTTGCAAAAATACTCCTACTAGCAATTTCTATTGTACTTAAGTTAAGTCTAAATTCACACAACACTCCAAAGCAAAGGTTTTGAGAATAAATAGATGATTTTGTAATTTAAACAAACACAATACAAGGAAATAACAAAAAAATTGTTATTAGCTGAATAACATAATAATTTGCAAAATGCTAAACCTCGAGTATTCTTCTGTAAAGAAGTAAATGAGACCAACAATTAATGTTTCTTAACATATGAATAAACTGCATGAAAACCAAAAATAACAAACTTGTGTTATATTTAAAAAAAATGGAAATATGCAGCCTATATATTTTATTTGACAGCTAATATGCAGCCTATATATTTTATTTGACAGCTCTAAACAAATAATAACAGTAAAGGTAAGACTTAAAATCAATACTTTTTTAGTTTAATATAAAAGTAAAAAATAACTTAAAACTTTGTGAATACATTAATTTTGATTTTTGACTTAAGTGCAAAGGCAGACTTGGTTTGGTAGTGAGTCATTACATGACTTGAGAATTACTTTTCTTCAAGTAATTTAGGTTTGTTTCAACCTAATGTTAAAACAACTAAAATTAGGGTAATTAACGAACTAAATGAGATCCTCAACTAAAATTTTCTTTTCTGCCCAGTATAGGCCTACCTAATTCCTAATTGTAGTAAATACTGTTAAGTAGCCTACAGTCTGTATCGACTAGTCTTAACATTTTTTCTACAATTCACAGACCAAAAAACTTTCATTATAAAACAATGAAATCTTATTACATAGTTCAGGTCTGGTTGAAGGCACATTGTTTCGTAGTTCATGTTGAAAAAAACTACAGTAAACTAACATAAAAATGTAACACATCAGTCTTTTCACAGCTACAATTTGTTGTAGTAAAACTACTGACTAATTATCATAATAGTTTTCACAACTCTAATCAACTGTAACAATTACTTACTACTAAGTAATATTCGAAAGGAAAGCCAAGTAGCTATATTGGATTTTTATGAAAAGAAAGTTTAGCTAGTTTATGCAGGAATAACAGTCCAGGGGCTAATAGGTACACAATAAAAGATAACAAAACTTAACTCTGCTTTTGTACTATCATAGGGTTTTTTTAGGAAGTAGATTGGAAAAAATATTTCATCAGAGGATGTTGAAGTAAAATGATTTTTACCTAACCAAACTAACCCCAATCACAAAAAAATCTAAAATATACTATGCAAATTAAATGTACACATTATTTAGCGACAATTATTTTTAGCTTGGGAGGCCCATCATTTCACAGGCAAAATAATACAAAGTTCTCGTTGTTTACTTGGCCGACCACCGATGAGTGATTACAACAACGAGTTGATAAGTTACATTTTGTGTATTTAATTTCTGTTCTCTCTAGGTGTTAACATAGCCTCCCCAAAAATATTTGTTTTGTAAATAGAATTGTGTGGGACAAAGTTAAAAGGTTTTTATACTGCATTTAATAGCAAAATGTTACGATCTCTTTCTGCAAACGATGACTTTCTGGTCTAAAAAGGGTACGGAAAGAAGCTGCTTACTATGTCGTGTTGTATAAACCAGTATTAAAGCTTAAATGTTACATGTGTTATTCGGTTATTATTAAGCCGCATTTACGAAGCTGGTTGACAACCTGCCTCAGGTAATATGAAATACACTTAAGGTAAGTAACTGTGCCTGCTCCTTGTGTAGACGCAGCTATAGCCATTTCCGGGGTATTTTGGTTAGGCTTGCATGTTAGTCTACAGTATTGTGTATCTCTTAGCTTCTGAACTATCAATTTCTTCATTAAACTAGCTCAACTCTTAATATACTCACTACAAAGTAAGAAACAGTCAACTAAAACACAAAGCCACAACTGAAATCCATAATAACTTATCGATAAATGAATGATACTCGGCAAACAATGAAACAGCAAATGTCTACAAGCGGGTTACGTGAGACTACAGGAATATTAGATGAGGCACTAGATGGTCAAGCACTGCCTAGAGTCTAGTGGCATGCAAGTGCGAGATTTACCAGAACTGTGTTGGTCCTCCGTCTGCAGCTGGTAGGGTTGAAGGTCGTCTGCCTCGGATATGAGAGCGTTGCGCAGACGACGGGTCACCTCAGGTGCCAGAGGGGGTACCCCACTACCTGAGGACGTCTCTAGAGGATAGGCCTCCGTCTTGATCATCAGCTGCAGGTCTGGGTTGAGGTGGTCTGGTAACAGCCCCTGCTGAAAAAGTTTATGATACGATAGTTCAGTGAGACAAGTTTTCAGGAAGATACAATAAAACCCCTTTTATCTGCACCCGATTAAACCAAAACTCCAGTTAACCAACAGCATCTTAAAAAATTTAAATAAATTGTAAGATAAGCTACGCAACGAGAATTATGTCCGTTGTAGTTCAGGTAGTTCATCCGTATTTTAAGATGAGAGAAAATAAAATACCATACATGATTACTGTTATGGATTCCTATGAATAAATATAGCCTTAAAAATTTCTTAAATTGATCAACCGAAAAAATATTTTTCTGAAACTGTTTTGTCCCCTCTATTTTGGTCAATAAGGTGGAGTGAAAATAGAAAACTGAACTATACAGATTTAGCTGTGAGCTTTGGTTTACCTAATGGACGTCAAAGCAACATTAATTACAGTTAACAATGCAGCTATGATTTTAGCTTTGACTAAAAAGAGTGGTATACATCCTGTATATCAAATTCCTTTTATTCCCTATAGTTTGACATTTTGATAGTTCGACATTAAGTCCACAAAGTGTCGAACTATCGAGGTTTTACTGTACAAATTAAATGTAGGCTACACATTATTTAGCGACAACTAAGATTTTTAGCTTGGGAGGCTCTAATGTTATGTTGTAGCCAGTTTCAGACTGAAAATGTGATTTAAGTGAGTCAACAACATTGTTTATTGATGTCAATTACAGTAGAACCCCCCATATGCAACCATCATGAGGCCAGCGGGATATTCAGGCCAGGCAATTCAAGTAAATAAAGTAAGATTGTAAACAAACAAATAAACCGATAATGCTAGAGTCGGGGAGACCAGTGCATGCAACTACGTGTAGGAAATTGGCTGGATAAACCGAGGCCATGAGGTTATACTGTACTGATATCTAAAGTAAATAGAATTTCAGCAATAGAACACTGTGTGAGTAGCTCATTTAAGATGAACAATTTGCCACAGCTGATCAATACGGATGAGATGTATATTTTAGTAACTGACCACGTCCATATCGCTGGAGGAGGTGGAAGGTTTGGGCGGACTGGACGTAGAAGTAGACGGCTCGGAGTGTAGCCTATCCTCCTTGACTATCACCTCGTCCAGTGTGGCCCAGTGTTGGTTGTGTACCCTTTGTTGTGAAGATCTCTCGTCAGGACACAAGAAAACCTCAATCTCTCCTTGGTCAGTCTTCAGATGCATGTTGAACTGTAACAAACCGCAATCATTACTAAGATAATTATAAATATTGATTAAGTTTTGTCTTAAAAACCGTACAACGTTGTCAGTTATTTCGATAATAACAGCTAGGTGTTTTCAAACTGGTTCTTCAAGAACCACACTTTTCTTAAGATGAAAACAACTCTTGATTACAGCAATAAGGAAGCACTTTAAACTCTACGGTTTATATTAGAAACAGAAAGTGATACAAATGCTGACCAACTAAGAATCTAGCTTATTCTGGTTGTCAATTAGGGGTTTGCTTATCCCTGATATGTTCAGGTAAGGTCAACGAACCAGTTTAGGCCAGGAATAATATCTCTGACCTGAGCAACTATATTTGCCAAGCCAAGCCTATCTTTTATTTTTACAATGACAGAAAGTGTCTGCAGAGATGCATGTTTGAAAATTTACGATTTTGAGAGGACTGCGGAAGGCGTTCATGTATACGAGTTGCAACTAACAAAGAACACACCCTTCCTATAAACGTCCTCCCAAGCTAATCACCGTTCGTTTGAGACGGAATTCTCTCACCAAGCTGTCTATGGTACAGACAGGTGAATGCCTCATTTATCTCACTGGCCCCGGATTCAAACCATGAACTTAATTGTTGTCTCCTGGCAAGAGAGACATCTTGCTCTGCTCAGACCGAGTAACACTGGTCTAATAAAGCGTAAAGGCAGTAGTCAAAACTTGACTCCTTGAATACACGTTTATTATTGATGTAAATGAATCTGCTTGGAACCATAGTACCTTCTCGTACATTTAAACAAAACTAATTCTACAAAGTTACAAATTAAACAAAACAATCTTAATTGTACCAATATAGGCAAACAATACTCATCAATCTTGATGATTTAAAGATAAACTCGATTTATTTAAATTTTGGACTATTTATTACCTCAAGCTGTTTGTTCTCTTTGTCGTATTTTCCTTCAGGTGACTCTACATACAGTTTAGACTCAGGAGGTGCCTTGATGACCAGCGACGTCTGTTTGTGAGACAAAAAGCTGCGGAGATCCTGGTAAGTTATGTAGCCGTACCGTTTGTCCTCATTCATTATTTGGAGATCGTGAGCTGGAATTCACAAGGTTACTAAGGTTAAATTGGCCAATCAACATGGTGTCTACTAAACCTGGTTTGAAAAATTCAAGGAGTTTTCCAGGAGAATTCAAGACAAATTCCTGAATTTTAAGAGCTACTATCGGAACCCGTTCAACTAATCGCAGCCCGCTAATAATAATTAATTATTACTATTAATGATTATTTTAATTTAAAACAAAACTTTTCCAAAGAAAAATATTTTTTACAACATAATAAAACAGTATAACTAATAGGTAAGGCGACACCAGCTATCATCTCCTGCGATCGTGGGAATACCGGTGAGCATATCCTGCGGTTTCGGCAACACTGATAATCGTCTCCGGCGAGCGCGAGAATACCCATGAGCATATCCAGCGGTTTCGGCAACACCGATAATCGTCTCCCGCAATCGCGGCAAGACCCGTGAGCATATCCTGCGGTTTCGGCAACACCGATAATCGTCTCCCGCGATCGCGGCAATACCCGTGATCATATCCTGCGGTTTCGGCAACACCGATAATCGTCTCCGGCGAGCGCGGCAATACCTGTGAGCATATCCTGCGGTTTCGGCAACACCGATAATCGTCTCCCGCGATCGCGGCAAGACCCGTGAGCATATCCTGCGGTTTCGGCAACACCGATAATCGTCTCCCGCGATCGCGGCAAGACCCGTGAGCATATCCTGTGGTTTCGGAAACACCGATAATCGTCTCCCGCGATCGCGGCAAGACCCGTGAGCATATCCTGCGGTTTCGGCAACACCGATAATCGTCTCCCGCGATCGCGGCAATACCCGTGAGCATATCCTGCGGTTTCGGCAACACCGATAATCGTCTCCCGCGATCGCGGCAAGACCCGTGAGCATATCCTGTGGTTTCGGAAACACCGATAATCGTCTCCCGCGATCGCGGCAATACCCATGAGCATATCCTGCGGTTTCGGCAACACCGATAATCGTCTCCCGCGATCGCGGCAAGACCCGTGAGCATATCCTGCGGTTTCGGCAACACCGATAATCGTCTCCCGCGATCGCGGCAAGACCCGTGAGCATATCCTGCGGTTTCGGAAACACCGATAATCGTCTCCCGCGATCGCGGCAATACCCGTGAGCATATTACACATAATTATAATACAAGGAATAAATATAATTTCAGATTACCACATCACAAATTGACGACTTTTAGGAACAGCCCTCAATATATGGGACTTAGATTGTACAATGAATTACCCCTGTATCTTAAAAATTTAAATGCTACTCAATTCAAAGATAAAATAAAAGATAAAATAATTGAGAAAGCCTACTATTCACTTGACGAATTTTTGGAGAACCCTATAATGTAGATAAAAATTCTCTGATATCCTACATGAGTTTATTTTAATTATTTTAACTATTAATTTTACTATATAATACATCACTATGACGAAACACCTGTTCTTATGTATGAAATGTACTTTATAAAGAACGTATTGTGTAAATAAAATATGTCTTATGTCTTATGTCTTATGTCTTATGTCTTATGTCATATCCTGCGGTTTCGGCAACACCGATAAGCGTCTCCCGCGATCGCGGCAATACCCGTGAGGATATCTTGCCGTTTCGGCGACACCGATAATCGTCTCCTGCGATTTCGGCAACAAAAGCAATAGTGTTTGGTTAGCCGACGATTCCAATGACCGGGCTGTGGATTCCCGGAGGTTCGGGTGGATTACTGGAGTTTTCCAGGACATTTCAAGGTAAGATAAAATTCCCGGAGTTTTCCCGGTTTTCCCGAATTTCCCGGAGAGTAGACACCATGATCAACCAAAGTATGAATCAACAAAAAAAACGAAGAACATATTCATTTGAATAAACGTTAGGTTTACATGTTTGTACCAAATTATAAATATGAATGGAAGGTGTTTTTGGCCTCTGGGAACATTAAAACGAAAAGTAAATCAGTCCTAGGTCTAGGTCTTACCAAATTATTTCCTACAAGGGAAATTCAATTTAAGAGTGTTCATTTAACAACACTGATTAGCGGTACCCATTTAACAACACTGATTAGCGGTACCCAAATACTAACTGCTACCCTTGGAACTAAAATTTGACAGATATCAAGTTCCTACAAATTAGACATAAACACTAACCTGCATTCCTGATAAGTCCATCTAAAATATTTTCCTGTCGAGCCAGATCATCTATCTCCGCTTGTAGAATGTTCTGTGAGTCCATAGGAATCTGGCCTCCCCTGGTGGAAATTACACAATACAATAAAAGCACATGAACATTCATACATGAATACATAAAAATATCTAACACAACCCATTGTTTCAATTGATAAAATATAAGAAACTTAAATTATTTCATTAAGCTAAAATATGCATGAATTACACAGTGAAAGTTGTTAATTCAAACTGCATTAATCAAATATTTCTTTAGGCCTAGTTCAAAAAATTATCTTGGTGCCTACCCTATATAAGCAGTGTATTTATCATGGATCCTACATAATTTTGGATGGTCAGAATTCTTTGGAGCATTAATACATCATAAACAGGGATAAACAAGACTGTGGACGGCAAAAATCTGTTATCAAAACAGCTGTGTGCTGTTAAAATAGAACCAAAAAGTACAACAATAAACTCACTCGCCACCCTTAAGTTTCATTTTGCTACTGGCCAGACTACCTGTAATGCCTTTTTTTTGTACAGTAGATTGTGCTATTTTGAAGATTTCTTTCAGTGAACCTCAACACTATATTTTGAGTGCTTTTGTTATTTTTAAGTTACAACACTTTTATATAGACATTATTTACAATCATAAAAATCAAGCGACAAATCCCCATCAAATCCAAAAATAACCTACAAATCAGACTGTTGTTGAAAAAGTATAAATATAAGAAAAATGGCCTGAACATTTACAGAGTACATTTCTTTCGATTTAAAAAAAGTTAGATATTCAAAATTGTGGACACCTTTAAAGCCCTTAAGTACTAACCTTAACCAATTTAAGTTTGTGGATGGTTCAAATCATGAACAACACAATAATATGCCACATTAACATTTCTTTCCTAAACACCAATACTCCCAAAAGTTTTCTCATAGTCTGGATAAACTTACTTCCACTGTATGTTGTTTTTCGACTTTTTCTCAAGAATGCCGATGCCTTCGAGCACATTGGTGATGTCGTAGATCCGCCTCTTCTGCACTTCCAGACACTCAGAGGCGACGTTGAGATCGACTACACCTTTGGGTGAGTTCTGCAGCAGTCCGACAAACTTCTTGGTCAACAGTCCGAGAGACGTGTCGTACCTCGTCATTGGAGGCTTGTCTGACAGACAAATAAGAAAGATCGGTCAAAAAACTGTTCCGATATTGGTTGTTATGTCTGCCTAATTGTTTAAAACACCAAAACTAATTCGAACTGATTTGAGCCGGACCCTGTTCAGATCACCAAACTGCTCTGATTAGCCAGAAATGCATTAAAATTGGATGTATGTTTATTATTGTAAATGGATGTACATTGCTTCCGTCATCACGGTTATATCCACGTTCATCCTTTGCGTTTGTGGTAACACCAAGAGTCATTTTTCATACTACACAACCACCTCAGGAAGAGAACCAACAGATTCCATTATGAATGGACATCCATTGGCCTTTGGTGATTATTAATATTCCCGGTTTTATGAAAACTAATATACAAATCGAGTAGTTTTCCTCGATCATCAAACTGCTGGTTTTTCAGTGGGCTTAACTCACTGGTTAGTATTTCAGAACAGGTAGCTTTGTTTTAAATTATTGGTTTACTATGGTTTAATATATGGTCATCATATATTAAAATGTAACCTTTTCCCTCTAGGTGTTTCGGATAAGCTATAGTCAGTTGGGGGTTGGCATTCGCTGATGCACTAACCTGACCAGTACGGGTTTTTGTAACTTAATTACAAAATGTCACTATGTTAAGATTTTAATTTTTTATAATCACAATAATTTTCACAAAGTTAAAGCTGAAAAGATGAACAGTAAAAAAGACTAATCCCATCCATACTAAAAGTTAAGCAAAAAACCTCACTTTTATTAGCTGGGCTAGCGCTCGTAGCTCGAGCTTTTTTGGTTGACTTTGGCGTTTTGAATCCTTCATCTCCTGAAGGGGCATCCAGGTTAAGTCTTCGCTTCACTGCCTGCAAAAGTCATTAGTACTTTAGCAATTGTAAGATTTGAGAATCTAGCTCATAGAAATATTCTATTACATATCTGAAACTATTGGAAAGTGAATACAAAAAAAAAACCTGATGCAGCCAAAATATATCACAAATTGTAAGGGAATAAAACATTAAAGCCAAATAAAATGAATACAAATTTGTTTACAAAGTCATTCAAAATTACAGACATATTCTAAATAAATGAAACATCATCATGGGATTAGGTGTTGCGAGACACAGATAGGTTAAGTGAAAGCAGCTGGTAGGTTGTTAAACGTGGTTGTTAAACATATGCATACTGGTCACCAGGAACCGGAAAAAAAACCTTTCACAGCCTGCACATCGAAGCACCAGGATTGGACCAAATTCTAGAGTCATACAGATATTAGTATTGTTAGGGGAGCTTGCCTAGTGGTAGACTTCAGTCCCAGGTTCAAATCCTGCCATATCACCAATGGATTTTATCCAAGTGATAATAATGCTGCAACCCCTAAGTGTAGCCTGAAGTAATATGAAAAACGATTTCGGGCTAGTATCTAGCGTCCTAGGACATAAAAAAGTGACATACAGATTTGTTGATTCTAATATTTACCTGTGAGCGGGGGGGCTGGGCGGGGGGTCCGGTCATGATCTGGTTCTGAGGAGTCTGGCCATACTCATGATCCAACAGATGGTACGGAGATGGACTCGTCATCACGGACTCCACCAGCTCAGACGAGTCCACGTACTCTGTGGCAAAACAATGTGTCCCCAATTACAAAATGGTACAAATCTATTTTGAAATCAGTATATTTTATATTTAGGATCCTGTTAGGCTACGGACACACAACTTTCCGCTACTGAGGATTGTAGCGAGAGTGTATTTTCAGGTGAAGATGAGTGATCAATGAGTGTTGAGTGAAATGAGACCTTTGTTACTGACAAAGATCTAGATTAGAACCATTTAAATAGACTTTTCTCTAGATTAAACTGGCACTTTTCTGATTAACAATGCACTGTAGCTTGTCTAACTAAAAGCAAATTGAAAACTCCCTAGACGAAAACACTCAGAAAATAAGATGATTTAATATGATAAAATATGATGATTTAATTTATATTACACTTTCTGTTGTATTTGTTTAAAAAAGCCTGCTCTTACAGAATGTGTGTAGCTTACCAAGCTTAACTGTAACTTCTGACACCGGTTCGTCATCTTCCAGTTGGAGAGCCCGCTGCACACGAGACATCTAAAACAGCACATTTATTTATGAATTATCTCACCTAACAGTTACTACCTATGTTATACAATAATATGACATAACACATAGAGCTACACATCCAACAAAGGGAAATAAACATCAGGAAGTATCACAATATGAACTACGGTTGTGACTAACTATATAAACAAATTAATAACAACAAGTAAGAATTTGCAGAAAGAACGATGTAAATACGAAATAAAGGTTTCAAGCTATTAAATATAATCAAATTTAAAAATAAATGTACAACACAAGTCAGTAGTGACACTAATTGGCCTACTAAGGAAGTGTTAGAAATGACAACGGAAGATATAGGAAGTTATTGTTAATCATAAAGCCTAATAGGCTAATCTTGAACCCAAAATGGAATGGACACACAAAAGTTCATATAAGCAGCAAGTTTACTTCCAGACCGGCTAGCTGACATAATTGTAAATAGGCTACATTGAAAAAATTCAAAATGGGAATATTTGAAGCATATTCCTTGTGGTGCATAATGTTCTGTTGAAGATTCAATAATCATCGATACAGAATTGATACAGCGATATTATTGCAAAAAATTATTGATACCAACGATACCGATATCAGCAATATTTTACTAATCCATAGAAGGATTCACTCTTACTAAATAACCAAATATTTACAATTTGAAATAATGTTTAAACTAAGTAACCAAGTTGTACTGTATTATTTTTCTCATGATTTAGATTAAAATCTAGTTGTATGATTTGACAAATCAATTTGTTAGGCTAATATCAAGTAATTTCTTGCAACTCCCTAAATTAACCGTATCTTGAGATTAGATTACCGTACATGATATTATTTTGGGTAGGCCTAAATGGGTAAATAAATAGGCCTAGAAAATAAAAATATGTTGGCAAAGTCATGCATAGGGCATAAGCTATACATACTAAGTTTTAGAATAAAAAGGCACAACAAAATGTATTGATACCTATAGGTTTATTTTTGTCATTTCATAAGCTATGTAGGAATAGGCCTATGCATGAGTATGTTACACTGTTAATAAAATTTTTACCGTTAGTTCAATGTTCATAGACTAGACATTTTCCATACATGTGTGTCATGTTCATAGAAATAAAACATTCATTTCATGACACGATAAAAGTTCCCTTTTCCTCCCACTTTTTTAGGTTAGCACAACATACACCATATGCCATGTCATATACATAACCTATACCATCCTATCCTACAACACAACCCTAACTTAACCTTTTCTTGAGATTAGATTACATGATAATATTTTGGGGATATGAGTAGCTAGTAATGTGGACCAGGCCTGGGAAAATACCCAAATTGTGGGAATTTATAAAACATATAAGAATTCTATCAATGTTTGCATAGTTCAATAGATTTGCCATGTCAAAATGGGTAAAAAATTATGGTAATTTCTTTGTTAGAGGGTATAGTTTGTGATATATAGTGAACATAAAATCCAAAAACCTAGAGAAAAATACCCAAGTGCGGAAAAGAGGTTTACAATTTTTCATGCTTTGGTGTCAAACAGATTTTCTTTTGGACAAATAATAAAAAATAATGATGTTTATTTATTATACTCTCCTACATTCAAAATTCCATTTTTTTTTAACTTAATCATATGTGGAACATTTCTGTAGAAAGTAAATCTAATTTATTGAATTATATAATGATCGTGGATAGTAAAGTAAAATACAAGCAAAAAAGCTTGGCAACACTTAGTAAGCCTAATTTAGTTTTTTTTCTAACGCCTATAGACTGTATTAACAAAATTACTGACAAAATATTAAATAAAACCTTTATCATAGGCCTATTGAAGATTCAATTTGATACACTGTGTCCTTTGGTTTCAAATATAGGTGAATCAATAATACCACTGAACATATTTATGGATATAAAACAATCTATAAAATCCATGTTTGTTTGATGTTTGTTTGTCCTTTATCCGTTACCAAACCGGCCATCCGATTGTGATGAAACTTTGGGTAGTTGTTCTATACACTCCCGAAAAGGTTTTTGTCCCATTACCATTATTGAACTACCAAGAAGCTCTGCCCCAGTGGTTCTGGAATTTCCCATGTTTACCTTAAATGCATTAGTATTTAAAAAGAATCGATGCATTTTGACAGCTGTTTCAAATAATAAATTATTAAGTTGGGTTCTATGATGTTCAATAGCATTAAAAAGTTACAAGGTTAAACAACAGAGTGCAGCACTTTATTTTTTGGTTCTCCCCATTGCAAAACACTTAGGTACAGCAGCTAGACCGAACAAAACCTCTAACTTCAAAAAAAAAACATAGCAACCTATTATAACCATTATATTTAGTTCTATCTGTTACCACTAGCCAATCTAAAGTAAAATACATTAGACTCCCTCTCTTATCCGGACACCTTTTAACCGGACATCGGTTTAACCGGACTACATTCGGCAGAAATGGCATCTCTTTAACGGACAATTGGTACTTTCCTGTTATCTGGTACCTGCGTAAAAATTCTTTCCTGTTATCTGGTACCTGGTTGTACTTTGGTTAGGTTAGGTTAGGTTAGTTTATCAATAACATGAGTATTGTAAGTAAACGAACCTAACCTAACCTAGCCAAACCTAACCTAAACGGTAGTATGTGCTCCGGACTCTGGATCGACGAAGTTGTACTTGTGGTTAAAGAATTTTTTCGCAGGTACCAGATACAGGAAAGTACCGGACAATTTTCATCAGCACATTGGTTTAACCGGACTAGATCGGCAGGTAGTGGGCAGTAATGAAACGACTGTTCTCGTGGGAAAGATTTGAGACCAGTGATCACGTGTCTAAATACAATGCTCTCTTAAATTTAAGTCGAATATCACAGTAAAGAGGCCGTTTTAACGAGTTTTTATGGACATCGGTTTAACCGGAACACCCGTTACTCGGACTCGGACTGGCCTCAGTCCCGAGGTGTCTGGATAAGAGGGAGTCTACTGTAGTGATAGTTTGGGTTCGTTAACAAAAATTAATAAAATGTGAAATTAAAGCAAACCTGCTACTCGTCCGATTCCCAAGAGATTTTGATCAAGAAAGAGATAAAATAATGACAACTAATCAGATGTTACCTACGTTTAAATTTTTGCTCCTGTCAAAACAAAAATTCCTAAATATTTATCTTTGTAACATCTGGACAAAATGTTTTTATATTTGAGAACATTATGTCACAAACATTTTTATGTTACTTAATCCTACTCTAAGATAGCCTATCTAACAATGTTCAATTTAGTAATGAGAAAAACTAAACTGAAGGCTACTATTGGCGAGTGTTGTTTAAGCGTAGAAAAATTGAGAGGAGATAGAACAAGAATAGTATTTTGGGGGAAAAATTATAATTTTGTTCCGGAGAGAGCAGTTTGAAGCTCTCGGTAGAAAGGCAGTTAATTTTTCAAATGAAGAAGTTCTCCCTTAGTTTGATTCCAGTAGTCCCATATGTCTAATTAGCTTCAAGGTAATTAGGCTGGAAGAATAGATTAATCCTTGATAACTGTTACTATACAGAAAAATTATGTAAAAGGACATGTTGGTTCGTAGCTTCAGTCAATTCAAAAGTTTCAGTCAAACTCAAAAGTATGTCGGGCAAAGCCAACGGGTATCAGCTATTATTTTATATTTTGAGAATAACAGCAGTGGAAATATTGAAACAAGAATAGGCCTACTGATACATCTAAACATTGGAACATCCTTAGACGTTGTAAAGTTGATACATCTAAGAGGTTCGGGGCATTAGAAAGTTTCTGTGAGAAGGAAAGATCCAGAACTGGTATCTGTGCCGGTAAAGATTTATCTAGAGTGGAAACAATATGTTGGACATATTATAAAACCACATCCACACCACATAAAAGACATGTTAAAAACCAATTTTTTCAAAAATAAAACACTATTTTCTTTTATCAAAGTAGCCTATTGTCAACCGTTTTTCAACGGTACCAACAAAAATTTTTACAACACCTCGACAAGAGATCAACAAAGATTATTGTAGGCTTTACTTGAGGTTTTTTACTACTCATAATCATAAACCGCACACCTTTTTATACTGTAGGAACAAACAAAAATGTGTTGGACTTTTGTTACCCCAATGGGGGAGGGGGAGAGTTCTTTTTTACGATTTATAAGATTTACTAGATCCAGTACAAATTTTGGGACAACACCAATATCATACATAGGTAGGCCAAATGTGAAATAACAATCCATAAAAGATAGTTAACAAATTTTCTTAAAGAATGCTCTATGATCTGTCGGATGAGTTTGGTTTAAAAACAACAAGTTAATTATTGTTCTACTAATTTTTAATGTTGTAGGCCTAACTAGGTTTTACATATAGAGAATATTTAGAATTTTTTTTTAATTTAGGCCTAACTTACCGTACTCTATTTATTATTAAAAACATAATTGTTGGTTTTTTTTTTAATCCATTCTATAAGTTAGTCCTTGCCACCCTAAGTTGAGGCAGCCCAAGGCCGCACTGCGTATATCTAGTGCAGCCTTTGACTGCCTCAACTTAGGCCCCCCATACACGTAACGATCGGCCGGCCGGCGAGGGCCGGAAGGCCAAACTGCATACACGCAACGATTCGCCTGCCGGCCGGACTGAAATTCCTCCTCCTAGTGGCAAGTGTGCAATCAGTTTTCGTACGGCAAAAACGTTTTTGTTAACTTGCTATAAGCTGGATCTTTTAAGTCCCTGTTGTGGTATGCCTTTGTTTTGACCCTCCGCCGACATTCATGCTTTCTGTATTCTTCTATAAAGGCTAGCACATGCTGATTAGTCCACGTAGCCATATTAGTACAAAGACTGAACAGAAAATAAAGTTAGGTTATGTCAATGACCGTGCCTGACCTTAAAAATGAACGGAAATAAAAAAAATAATGCTACGATTGTACTGTCGGCCTTCCGGCGACCCCATACACGTAACGATCGGCCTGAAGGTGGGGGTTGGCCGGACGACGACCCCATACACGTAACGATC